TGTGTGTGTGTGTGTGTGTGTGTGTGTGTGTGTGTGTGTGTGTGCAAGGAGAAGAAGAAGAAGAAGAAGAATAAGGAGAAGAAGAAGACAAAGAAGAAGAAGAAGAAGAAGAAGAAGAAGAAGAAGAAGAAGAAGAAGAGGCAATCTCCTCCCTCTCACCTGGTGAAGTCCCGGAACCACATACTAAGTCGCTGAGGTGGTGTCTCTGATGCAGGTCGCTGGGAGGAGACCCAGCTATGGCGCCCAGGTAAATCCGCTACACCTCGCGGCTATGGCCGCTAACCTCTCCACCTCCCCTCTCTAACTCCTACGCTTCTACCTCTACTCTAACGCAGCGCCTGGAAGTCTAGCGCTGCTCCTGGAAGTCTAGCACTGCTCCAGCAGCGTGATGCCCACACTGGAAAAGTGCCAACCGACTGAATGCCCCCATACTGCTGGGCTGCTGGTGTGGGCTGGCCCAGCTATTTAGCGCTGGGCCTGGTTGGATCGCCCGAGGTATGCAGCCAGGACCATCCGATCTACTATCCGACCGGTGGTCCTGAGCTCAGGCCCAAGTCCTGGACCTGCAGACAGGACAAACTATCGGCCTGCCCGGGTCCCTACCGGATGTCCAGGCCATCCTGCTGATGCAGTAGGGTTCCTAGGCTGACCCTGGTCCATCTCAGCCTCAAAACATGGGGCAGTGGTCCGGACAGACGCTGGTCTGTTCGGACATGGTGAAAAATCCGAAACGGCACTGTTATACTGCGTTTGACGCGGGGACGCAGCCATTCGGGTAGCATAATTTATGTTCTAGACAGTAAGCTTGGCAAAGGTCTTATGAAGTGGGGGATGGGCAGCCTTCTGGATGGTAATGTCTAAAGCCAACACTCTCCCACACACCACACACAACCCACTCGCACGTGCAAGCGCACTCACATCCGTGTTGGCTGAAGACCTTACTGATACCGACTGGGAGGATCCAGCTGACTATCTCAGTTGGTTGGCAAGGGGCCGCTGGATGGAGCCCAGATTCTTCTATGGCAGGAGAAAAAAAAAAAAAAAAAAAAAAAACTGAAAAACGAATAGCAAGCTACTAAGGGCTGTACCACCCCACATGCGGCAGGGGAAAAGGGCATTTCAAGCTCTAAACTGCCGGCAGTGTATCTACCTATGTTCTACCAGAAGATTCGTGCTCATTTTGCACATTTGGTCAGTAGTGGAGCTCCACAGCTCTCGTGGCAAAGGTAAGTACGTTTTTCCTTTTTTTTTTCCCGAACGTCAGTACGTTTTTTCTTTGTTTTCTTTTCTTAGTAAGCAGTCCATTGTAGATTTTGTTACTTGGTCCTAGTAAACAGCAGAATGCTTCTATACTGTATTTCTGGGAAGATGCAGTCGAAGAGAAAAAAAACAAAACAGACCCAAATCGCCTGCAACGGGAAAAAACTCTATCCCTCAAAAGGGAAACAATGGACGGCGCCCTATACTAAATTGCAATGACCTTGACAACCTGCCCTACAACCGGTCTTAGGGACGACTGCGACCGGACCCTATTTTCTGCTGTCGGAGACCCCAAACGAACCCTGCCTAGCGAAGCTGTACTGCACGACCTTACCGAAAATAGAAAGAAATGAAACGACGAAAATGGAACCCACACAAGGAACACAGGAACAGACAAAAACCGACAAGACAAAAGACTCAGCAAAAATGAATGAATGAATGAATAAATAAGCGAATGCTGAATCAAGAGAAGGACACGTGTGGACCAAAATGTGTGCCTGGCCTAAGGCAAGGCTGTGAGCCTCCAGGTTGCACGGCCCAGAGGCGGCACGCGGCCTGGGGGCCCTCAGCAGCCAGTGGGTCCCGAGAGGGGGCCGTGTGCAGGCCTGAGCATGCTACACACACGCGCGCACACAGACACACAGACACACACACACACAGAGAGAGAGAGAGAGAGAGAGAGAGAGAGAGAGAGAGAGAGAGAGAGAGAGAGAGGACAGCCATGTCTATATCACCTATCCACCTGATGGAAAAAGTCTGAAAAACTAAACAAATGAAACAATGAAAAGGACAAAAGAAAAAAGAGGGGATTGAGGGAGCTGCTTGACCAAAATCTTCACAACCGAGAAGGACAAAAAAGAGGAAAAAGAAGGGGAAAAAAGAAAAGAAAACAAACTAAATCAACCAGGGTAACCGCGGACCCGGACACCGGACACTCCCGGACTGTCTTCCTGACCAGTGTCTGGACCGGTCCGGACATCACCAGACACCCGGACAGTCCGGACTGGTGTCAGGGGTACAGAATGTCCGGACCCAAAAAAAAAAAAAAAAAGAAGGGACAGGGAAGGCTGGGAGGGGCGGGCTGTTGGCAGGCACTTACCTGCTTTGCACTTTGTAGTTCAGGCAGCAGAGCAGCTGTCTTGCAGCAAATCAACAAGCACATTCAAGTAGCAGACATGCAGAGTTGCGAACAGTGCAAGGCAGGCACAAGACTAAAGAAACACAGAGAAAAGAAATGAAAAAAGCTAGGGAGATATCCCGGGCGCCCGGGTCCCGACGTCACGCCCTGCGTGGCGACCGGGTGACCAGCCGGGCATGACCCCTGGGCATGGGCGCGGGCAGCCCCAGTGCCAAAAAAAAAAAAAAAAAAAAAAAACCCAAAAAAAAAAAAAAAAAAAAAAACTTGTATAGAATTGCGATACAAACAGCTTTTGGCTGAGGGTCACATCAGAATTCCTCACGGGACTAAGGATAAAAAAAACAAAAAAACAAATCACACTTAGGCACCCCCCTTGAAAACCCTTTAGCCCCTTTAAAATTCATTTATACTCCCCTTCCCCCCCCTTGACAGCCAACTCTCAAAGAAAGAAAAGAGCCCGGATTTGGGCTCCTCTCGAAGGGCGCGGAAAAAAACCCACCACAATTTTATTTATTATTTTTATTTTTATTTTTTTCCCCCCATGCCCGGGTATCCCGGGCGTCAGACCCCCCCGGGCGTCACGCCCGGGTGACCGCCGGCCATGAAAATCTTCCTAGGAAAAAAGTAAGATTAAGTTTGAAGTTTGAAGTTTGAATTAAGTAATTTAAGTTCATAACTTCATATAACTTACAAGTTCGAACTTTGCAGTTCAATTCAGAACGTCAGAGTCTTCAGACTGGCAGCACTGTCAGTGCTCTCTCTCTCTCTCTCTCTCTCTCTCTCTCTCTCTCTCTCTCTCTCTCTCTCTGTGTGCAACGGGAAGCAGCGGCGGGTGGCACATCGAAACGGCCGCTTTGAAATTGCTCGGGCCTGTGTGAAACCCGCCACCCCAAAAACCTGCAGTGTCTTGTGTCCGTACCTCTAGGCCCTGTCCGTTGGGGTGAAACGACACTGAAAAATCACCCCATCATTTTTCAACGGGCAGCCAGGACCCGAAAAACGTCCTGGGCCGCCCCGTTATTTTTTATTTATTTTTGCCCTGGGGGCCTCCATCTGGGCATGAGGACCAGACACCGGACCATGGACCCGGACATGTTGTTCCGGACTGTCTGGAACCCGGTCTGGACGCCCGGTCGGTTACCATGAAATCAACTGGCCTCGATCAGTTCGTACACCCCTGAACTGCTGAAATACAGACCTGAGTTCAAGCTCCTCTGGGAAGAACATGAGTAAATAACTAAAATTATAGTAAAATACCACAATTCTGAATTACGGAGGGCTGGTCATTGCCCTTTTTGGAAAACAAAAAACAAAAAAAACAGACGAAGATTCAGGGACTGCTTGACCAACCTGTTGGATCTCCCCCTTGAATCATAAACCCCTTTATATTTCTGAACATCACAAATAAAACCACAGCCAAATCACATCCCAAGTGCACCAAACCAAATATAAAAATCAAATCAGTTGGCCACTGGAGTCACTGAAAAATAAGAAATAGGCAACAGCAAACTTGCAAAGCAAAGAATATCCAAAAACAAAAACAAAGGCAACGAAAAAGAGAGAAAACTGAGGTCGTCTTTTGGGATATCCGTCAAAATTTGAATGATACAGAGAAGTTAGCATGGCCCCTTAACGGGGAAAAAAAAAGAAAAAAATTAAAAAAAACGAGAAAGAGTCCGAAAGAGAGAAAGCAGAGGTGCTTTCATAACAGGTGGAGCAGAGTACAGGGAGAGAGAGAGAGAGAGAGAGAGAGAGAGAGGCAAGGTGAACCACAGGTGACTCTGTAGAGTGTATAATGACTCTAGTACACTATAATACGAGTCTATATAAACCGGCATATAAGACGAGGCTTTTTTTAGAAGTAGATCTTAGAGAAGCCTTTGCTCGAAAGTTCGTTCAAAGTAAAAGAAGTTTAAAGAACTCACTCAGGTTGTTGGGAAAAACCGAAAAGAAAAAGGAGAAAAAAGAACTCACTTGTGGACAAGCAGAATATATCCCCTTACTCTCCACTTTACAATCCCTCTCGATATAAATCTCAAGAAGAAACTAATAATTTAATAAATAAACTAGGCTACCAGAGTGGCCCGGGACCACTTGCCCGGTCGGGCCAAGAACAATTACAAAAAAAAAAACAAACTTTATTTTGTATTTTTTTTTTGGTAAAGAATTTCAATGTAACCCTGGGGCGAAAGGTGTTCAATTTAGTTTTCTGCATAACATAGTTTTTTTTTTCAGATTTTGTGTTCAGTTTATTTTTCTGCATAACATAGTTTTTTTTTCAGATTTTTTCGATTTTTTTTTCTTTTTTCCTTTTTTTTTTTGCTGGGACCTACTTTGGCCCTTGCATGGCCGGGCCACCCGGGCAAACAAGGTCACCAGGGCGGCCCGGCTGGTAGCCTAGTAAGTAAATGAATACTATAAAGTATATATTGTCACATAACTATGTAGTATGAACTAAAAGAGCGCACTTTGTGAAACAAACGGTAAAGATAAAACAAAACAAAAAAAACAAACAAAGATGAGGGGCACACTGAAACTATTCAATTTTCTCATTCTTCTTTTAACTCCCCCTTCACCGTGCCTCTCACGTACAAGGCTCACCACGTTAATGAAGTTGAGCGCGAGCTGCCTGCATCCCCGTGTGCCATAACGGCACACTTGTACGCTGTGAGAAAGAGGCAGCGTAAAGGGGGGGGTGATAAACACAAGGAAGACAGATGAAGAGAACAGAGACAAAGAACGAAAAAGGGAAAGCAAGGATAAGAAAAGGCTCAAGAATGAGTCTGTCCTTGACGACAGAGAGGACACACATTGTAAGGATGATATGAAGATGCAATAACTCGGCTCAAATCTGCAAAAGCTGTGGGCTCTAGGACGTCACTTTTAGTCAAAGGCCCGAGTAAAGCCTGGACAAAGGACTGATGTCCAAGGGTATCCAGGGCAAGGTCAAAACTGGCCTCCAGAGGCCCTGCGTGCAACAGTTGACTCTGGGAAAGTCAACGGTCAACCCCAGCATGGGAATCGAGCCCCAGAGGTCAAAGTCAACCTGCTGGTCAGCCGCGGCCGTAGATCAGACGCACATCATTGGTGTCTGCAGGTATCCAGAAGAATCCGGTCCTCGTGGGACACATGGGAAATCTGCAACTGTGCAACATCCAGGCCCTTGGCTGCCGATTGATCTGGACGATCATCCCCAGGAGACCAGAGGGTGGTCAACGTGAGTCAACACTATAAGTTGACCCACGTGTTGACTCACGTTGACCCACGTGAGTCAACACTATAAGTTGACCCACGTGTTGACGATCATTCCCTGCTTGGAGAGCATTCAGTGTTGTGCTTTCTGCCTGGCGCTGGCTTGATGCTGGTGCGATGACGCAAGGCTGCTGGAGCTTCATGCTGGCGCCAGATTCGGAGTGTGGGCGCCAGCCTTGAGGGTGATTATGCTGACGGGGCCATAGCCACATTGATTTCGACATTGATAGAAGTGTGGGCGAGGAGGCGGAGGATCTGGACTGTGAGTGATGAGGAGAAACTTGCCTGGACTTACCTGTCTGTGACATTGCGTGTGCTTCGATGCTCGTCTCCAAGAGGACGATCTGCGCCATCCTCCTCGATTGCTGTTGGCATGGCTGGAGGATGGGCGCCCTGTTGTGACCCGTTCGTTGTATATGTCAGAGATCGTCAGGGGAGAACTGTATTGCTGACGCGGTGAGTGGGGGAGATGCCCAAGGAGGAAGTGGGCTTGAGGAGGGATTTCTGCTTCATTGGTTGTTGTGGAAGCTCTCCTCATCCTCCTCTCAGTCTCTTCTCCCTCTCTCCTCATTTTCTTCTCTGAGTTCGCGACATTGGAAGACTACATGTATGACGGGCATGGTCTCATAAACTATTTTTGGAGTCATTGATGCTGCACTGTGTCAGACTTGTACTCCGACATTCATGAGGTTCTCATCTGACTGGGTTCATTGCAAAGAAGTCTAATGAATAATAAATATACATCTGAAGAAGTCCTGTAATAAACTCCGTTCAGAGCCGCAGAGACGCGAGCAAGGGTCGTCAATTTTGGTCAAGGGCCAGAAACAGGGGTCAAAAGTCACTTCCCAAGCCTGAGAAATGTCTGAGAGAGTCCCTTGGGTCACGGGGTACCAGGGTCTGAGTCAAAGCTATGTCCAGTACCTCAACGTGACACAGTTGACTCTTGGAAAATCAAGAGTCACCCCAAGCACGGGATTCCAGGCCCAAAGTCAAAGTCAACCCGCTGGTCAGCCACTGCTGTCGATCAGATGCACATCATTGGTTATCCGCGGGTATCTGGAGGATTCCAGTTCCTACTGGGAAAAGGTACCGCTGCTGCAAGGTTGCAATCTGGCCGTCAAGATCGGGAAAATCTGAGCGTCAACACTGTCAAAAGGAGCCTTGTCCACGCCAGTCCACACCAAGTCAACGCTACAAAAGAAGAGTCAGGCGCTAGGGGGAGCATTCTGCCTTGCGCTGGCTTGATGCTAATACGATATCGAGAGGCTGCTGGAGTTATGCTGGCGCCAGTGCTGCTGGGTGGGCGCCAGCATCAGGGGAGATCATGTTGGAGCGGCCATTGCCGCCATAGCTATAAACATTGGCGTTGAGGTTGGGCAAGGAGGAGGATCGAGACTGTGAGACTGGAGAGGGTTTGAGGGGAAGCTTACCTAGACTTACCTGGCGACGCTGTGGGCAATCTGCTGCTTGTCTCCACGAAGGTGAGGTAGACCTGCGCCATCCTCCCTGATTGGTTGATTATGTGGATGGAGGATGGGCGCTCGGCTGTAACCTGCACATTTTATCTGTCAGAGAATGTCAGAGAGAGAATTGTTAAGGTGGCGACAAGGGGAATAATGCCTGAGGTGAAGGTGGGCAGGAAGAGAATTCATGCATGATTGACAGGGACTCTTCTTCTTCTCCTCCTCTCTGTGTCTTCTCCCCACTACCTTATTCTCTTCTCTGAAGTGATGATGCCCTGGGAATGTGCACATATGCTGGGCATGGACATATAATTGATTTCGGAGACTTTATTTTGTCCTCTGTGTTCGCAATTGTATCACGACACTGATTGGCTTCTCAATACGACTAGGTTCATTTCAGTCAAATGAGTAATCCTACCTCTTCAGCGGCGTCAGCCGCGGGGTGACGTCTATGGTCCGCTGCGAGTCGAAACCCTGCGTGAAAATGTCTGTGGGCCATCAGATGGGGTGGATCGAGGGGCAAGGCGCATGCAGAGCCGGTTTTCTATCCGTTCGTTCACAGCGCGCTAGTTATCGTGGTGAGAGAAGCCACGTGCGCGGTGTGCGATAGGCGTCGATCGATGGGAATATCTCACAAGGGGACCGCCCGATAGCCGAAAGTTGTCGTTTTGTGGCCGCCGACGGCCTTTTTTTTTTGGTTTTCCCGCCCGTCGTTTTGTGGCCCACATTTGGTCCCCCTTTCGTTGTGCGGTTCGTTTTCCCGTGCGTCGTCTTGCGCAGGAAAAAGAAGGAAAAAAACCCTTTTTGTGCCCACTTGCCTGCCTGCGTGCACACACACACATTAATATTTTGAAGTCCATTGCGAACTGTTGTAGCTGGGGTTTGAACCCACGCACAAATTTGAGGAACCCAACTGCCCGATGAGATAACTGTTGAGGTAGATTGAGTCCCTGTGTGATTTTGTGGACCGTTTTCTTTTTAAGTGTATCCAGTGTCAGGCAGCTGGCACGTCAAGATGTGACTGTGTCCAAACCCTAACCTTGCAGAGTGTGGAAAAGCGGCTGAATGGCAGAAATGGAAAATGTGTCGAATTGCCGCCAAAATTATGTTCGTGTTCAGAGGGTTTTTGACACTTGTTCGTGTTCGGCCAAACATATTCGTGTTCGCCTCCAAATGCGAACACGATGCTACGCAACTTTAAGCAAATCTACTCTGATCTACTCTGCTCTACTCTACTTTGCATTACTCTACTCCGTTTTACGATACTCTACTCTACGTTCCTCTACTCTGCTATATGATGCTCTATTCTACGATACTCTACCCTCTCACAGTCCACTCTACTCCACGATACTCTTCTCTTTGGTAGCCTACTCTACTCTACTTTACTCTACGCTTGCCTTCCCTACTCTACTCTACTTCACTCTACTTTACTCTGCTCTACTCTACTCCACTCTACTTTGCTCTAGTCTACCATACTCTATAATCTTCTACTCTACTCTACTCTACTCTACAGTACTCTACGTTGTGATAACTTTATCTACTATACGATACTCTACTCTATTCTATGATACTCTATTTTACTCTACGATATTCTTCTCTACTGTACTCTATTGTACTTTTTTCTACTCTACTTTACACTACGCTACTCTATGCCACTCTACTCTACGATACTCAGC